TGAAGTCTTCAGGTGGCAGGGCCAAGACTTTCTCCACATGTGCCTCTCACCTCACTGCTGTGGCCCTTTTCTTTGGGACCCTCATATTCATGTACCTGCGGAGCAGCTCAGGCAAATCCCCAGAGGAAGACAAGGTGGTGTCTGTCTTCTACACTGTGGTCATCCCCATGCTGAACCCTCTGATCTACAGCCTGAGAAACAAGGATGTGAAAGCGGCTTTCAAAAAGATCACTGGTAGATGCCAGGGGTCCCAGAGCAAGTAGACCTGAGTGAGAGGACTACTCCACTTGTTCCATTTTCTTTCCACATGAGCATCTCTAGAAGGAACCAGCACTATATGCAACTTGTACCCACAAACAGAGAGAAGGTAGACAGGTGCCACCAGGCACACAAGAAAAACTTCAAATGTGGTAAAATTTGTCTCCAGAAATCCCATGGTACTATCTTCCTCTTCTCTTCTTCCATCTCCAGTCCATTCCTTAGCACCCGTAAGTCTCATGCTACACTCTGACATCATAACTTACAGAATCCTCGAGACACTTAACAGTGTCTGATATCTATGTTTGTTTTTTATCCCTGCCCCCAGTAGAATGTAAATTCCATGGAAGCAAAGACTGTCTGCTACTTTAGTGCATCTCAACTTACGGTAGGCATTCAAAAAATATCTGTTGAAAAACAGAAAGAAGATAAAAATGAATAGAATTTCCATTCCCAGAAATGTAGTAGACTAGTATTTTCTAATCAACCGTTCCCAGAGAAACAAGTGAAAAATAAATAAAAATGTGAAGAGATACTAAAAAATCCATGGCTAAAATCCAAAGGAAAATCAGAACCCTAAGAAGTAAGCAGAGTACTGCAGCTGTTTGCCATCAAGAGCATCTCCATATGAAGACAATTTTGGTGGTGGTGGTGCCATCAAGACAATTTCAACTCCCAGTGACCTTGTGTACAGCAGAGTGCATCTCAGTCTCTTTTATTTTTGCTCCAAGCTCTCCCCTTCTGGCGCTACATCAGACAATACTCCGCTGCAATTCACAGGGTTTTCATAGACAATTTTTTCGGAAGTGGGTGGCCAGGTCCTTCTTCCTAGCCTGACTTAATTTGGAAGCTTTGCTGAAACCTGTCTACCATAGGTAACCCTGCTGGTATTTGAAATACTGGTGGCATAGCTTTCAGCATCACAGCAACATGCAGCCACCACAGTCTGACAACCAACAGGCAGGTGGTATGGTTCCCTGACCTAGGAAACAAACCTAGGCTGTGGCAATAAGAGCACTGGATCTTAACCACCGTCCCACCAGGGCTGGCATGAGGATATATACGTTATTGATTGCTGTTAGCTTGGTAGCTGAAAGCAGCAAGCATTTACTATCCTGGAGTTGCTGTTGATGGAAATCCAGACACAGGTTAGTTAGATATCTCCGGCTCAGGCTCTCTCACAAGCTGTAATTTAGATGTTGGCCAGGGATACAGTCATCTTGAGGTTGACTGAGGGGAGATCCACTCCCAAGATCATTCACATGACTGACTGTTGGCAAGCCTCAGGTCCTTCCCAGCTGTTGACCAATATATCATTTCCTTGCTACATGGTCCTCTCTATAGGGCAACTCACACCATGATGGTTGACTTTCATCAGAGCTGATCCCCAAGACAAACATCAAGTTCTTTTTAAAATATAATCTCAGAAGTAACATCTCATCACATTTTATTTACTAATCATGAGTTTACTAAATCTAGGCCATCCTCAAGGGTAATCGTGATAACCTGACAGCAGAAGATGTCCCCAAATTTTCTGGAATATGGAAATTCTCAAAACAAACAAAAATATATATTTATGTACATCTGTCATGATATCCTTCAAATCTTGACCAAAAAGGAATTGATAGAGATTTATGTAAGTTGGAAAACATTAATGAAGGTATGTGGTATTTCTCTTTGCTGCGCACAGATAACACATATATATAACTCTAAGCCTTTACCAATCCATGGGACATAAGACCTTCCTTCCATTCATTCAGCCCCTTCATTAGGCCATAAGTTTCCCTTTCGTTATTTTATTGATTACTGCTCATGTAGAGGAAGGTTATTGATTATTATTTATGTAGGTCCTTTTACCTGGAAACCTTGCTAACTCTAATAGCTGTCAGTTCATTATTTTGGAATTTCACTATAAATAAAATTTCCTGTGTATATTTTTTTTAAGTTATGTGATATTTCTTATCCTCCCATGTGATGGAGAAAATTTGTATCCCAAACACTACTGTCCACTTAGCATCATATCCTGAGCACTTTCCACCCTAGTGGTCATATTAGGTCACATTCGCAATCATACTCTACCCCATCTCGATATTTCCTAGAACCACTGCCCATTCCACAGAGACGCCCTAGTGTTGAGTCACCATTTTGCACCACCAGTCTGCACCACAGAAAATAAGGCAGGGCCACAGTAAATCCCCTTCTGCCCCAATGTGCTACACTCTCTAATCACTCCCATCTTCCACCATCATCCTTCAATACAGCTGTATGGAAATTCTCTCTTTCATCTGCTAGTTTGTACATCTGACATCCACACTTACCAACAATGATGTGGCTCTGCCCACCAGGAAGACCCTCATTCCTTTATGCTGGGTTCCACACAGCACCACCCCCAACCCAGACCAGCTAAGAATAGTTTACATCCCTGAACATCTGTGGAGGTCTGAGTTTGAATCTCTTATCTCAGGGGAAGTCCGTCAGCTTCCTGCATAGACCAGGGGCCCTTCTCAACTCCACCCATGCAACATCCAAGAACTACAACAAATGTATGCATTGGGAGATGCTTACATTTGAACCCTGGCTCCTCACATCCAAAATATCCTATAACACCTAAATAAAGTCACTTTGATATTTTCAGCTTATTTATTATGAAAAGTCAGTACCATGACCATAGATGTTTTAGATATTAGTGATCATTTCCTTGAAGTAACTTCCTAGAAGCAGAACTACGGGGAAAAGAACATTTTCATTTTTAAGGGTCTTCATACAAATTAATAAAACTGACTTCAAGGTGGGCCCCAGCACTCCAAGTGTATGAGGGAGCCTGTTTCCCAGCACCTCTGTCAATGTAGATATTGTGATCTTCTTTTAAATATTTAGTGATTATGAAAGCAAAAAAGGTCATTCAGAGCTACATAAAGTGTAATTTTTTATTTTTTCTGATGTTCAACATTTTTCACACGTTTATTTAGCCACTTTTATTTCTTCTTTTGTCAATTTAGCATTCAATTTCTTTGCCCATTTTTCTGAAGAGGTGTTTGACTTTTCTGATTGAACTATAGAAACATTAAGGATCTCTCCTTTCGTTTGTTTGACAAATACTTATTGAGTGCCTAGTGTATGCTAGGAACTGTTCTAGGCATTGGGGTTACAGCAGTGAACAAAGCAGGTGAACTCTCTGCCTTCATGGAACTTCCATTTTAATAGGCAGAGACAAAGAAAATAGTGTTATAAAGAAAAAGAGCCAGGGGATGTGATAGGAAATGTCTGGGGTAGTGGCAGAGAACGGGGACTCATGGAAGTCAGAAAAGGTCATTACGACGTGGCATTTACACTGGGACCTGCATGAAATGAAGACACAAGAGCATCTTCTTGTGTGAAGAGCATTTCAGAGAGAGGGAACAGCAAATGCAAAGGCCCTGAGGCAGGAATAAGCTGGGATCTCAAGGAACAGATACAAAGACAGTAGGAGATAAAGAAGGGAGGTAGGCAGGGGGCAGATCACATATGACCTCAGGCCAGAGTGTGAAATTAGATTTTTCTCTAAGCGCGATGGGAAGCCACTGGAGGATTTTTAATAGGGAAGTTATAGAATCTGATGTAGATTTTAAACAATCTCTCTGGATTCTATAAGGAATATGGATTATAAGGAGGGAAGAAAATGGGGAATATATACAATGGAATATTATTCAGCCATAAGAAAAAGGAAATCCTGCCATTTGTGACATGGATGGACCTTGAGGGCATTATGCTAAGTGAGATAAGTCAGACGGAGAAAGACAAATAGTGTGTGATCTCACTCATATGTGTAATCTAAGAAAGCCTTCCTCTCTATTCTGTTCCCTTGGTCTATGTGACTACTTTTTTTCCCAGTACTACATTGTTTTGAACTGTTGCTTTGTAGCGTAGTTTGAAATCAGGAAGTGTGATGCCTCCAGCTTTGTTTTTCTCTCTCAGGATTGCTTTAGCTATTTGGGGTCTTTTGTGGTTCTATACAAATTTTAGGATTATTTATTCTATTTCTGTGAAAAATGCTATTGAAATTTTGATAGGGATTGCATTGAAGCCAGTCTTTCTTGGTCCACCCCTTAACGCCTCTCTGGACTGTCTCTACTCCACATAGTAACATCTGAAGACCCAGATACAAACACTCAAAAGTCTATCAGGAAGAAAGAGCATGCTTAGGTATCCCAGTTACCAGATCAGTACAGCCACCTGCAGCTGGTGTGAGTGTTGGCTGCTAACCACTCGCAGCTACAGCCTTTTCTGGAGTATCGCCCTCCGCCAAGGGATCCACTTCTCCCAGAAAAGCCTAAGGGATCACACTTCCTCCTCTTGGGTGCAGCCCACAGTCAATGGATAATCAATATGGGCTGCAAAAGGCCAAATCACTTGCCTAGAGGCAGAACTGAGTGTGTGGTATAATTCACACTCCAGAGGTCCCCTAAGGATCAGGCCAAAGCTAGACTCCAACAGAAACTACGTCTTTGCTTATCTGTTTCCTGCTTCCTTCACTCCCTAGCAGATTTCTTCTGTTATCATTCTCTCAGTGAAACACTGGCCCCAAAACTCCTATCTCAGGTCTTTTTATGAGGAACTCAATGTAGGACACATCTCTTCCCAAATGTCCATACAAAAGTAGTAGGATTAATATTAAAAACAACAACAATAATAATCGTGTAATACATCAAAGCACTCCACATCTCCGCAATCTGTCACAAAGGGAAGAAGGTAATGAATACTATACAGCCACCGATTTCCATAGGTTCCCCAGGGAATGTTTAAAGGAATATTATCGTTACTGGCATATTCTCCCTCTTCTTTCCATAAACGTCCCAATTATCACCCCACTCTCTATACCACTCCAGAAAACATTTGCAAGACAGTAAACATACCCTTACAACACAGTTATTCCAATAGGTATTTAATTACAGGAAATGATAATAAATATTATCCAAAAATGCATTGGAGGATAGAATTCCCTCTGTTGCCAGAAGTCCTGGTCTGT